ATAAACTGTAAATCTTTGCCTTCAAATACCCCCAGAACTATTGCAGAATATTCATGTAGCTTATGCACCAGCAGTAGCTAACAAAACAGCACACATATCTACGTATGAATTATATTGCTTATGGTGGTTGAATTTTCTGAGCAGAAGTATTTTATGTCCCCAAGGACTATCTTCATTTTGGTAATAAAATAGATACTACTACTACTACTACTACTAATAATAATAATAATAATACAGAGAGTTCCAAAGATGGTAGATTATGGATGAAATAATTTGTAATAACCTCAAACTTTGAGGTACAGTCAGTGAGTAAATATAATAAAAAAAACAAAGACAAACATGCTTACAATATATTGTGAACTTACAATTTTTTTAACTGCACTGCACTATAAGTAGTTATAATGATATTGATTAAAAATATATATTGGGTATATATATAGTGAATAAGTAAATATTGCAAGGCACTCATTGCACACAGACCTCCACCAAGGTGCTCAATTCCCATTAAGAACTAATGTAAGGATAGCCGCCAAAATTCAGTCTTCCAGTCTCAAAACAACACTATGTCATAATAAGGTCCTATTAGGGGCATTTCACGATAAATGTCAGTGACCTAGCTACTACACACTAACTCTTGGGGAGAAATGCGTAGTTCATTTAGAAGTCACACCCACGGAAAGCCCGACACCACAGATCAATACCTGCTATTGATCTGCCTTGATATCAACAGAGTTAATGAGGGTTAGATGACAGGGAGAGTTAGGAGATCATATGATGATGAAGGCTGTACTAGATCTTCATTATGGTGGGGGGGGGGGGGTAGATGGCATTGTTAAAGGTCTGCCCTTACAGAAATCTCCTATAGGGTCCTACAGGAAAAAGGCCCCAAATCCTTAAGGGTCCTGAAGACCTAGAAAGGAATCTGTAGAAGCCCTGTGGAGTCCCATAGAGTCCTGTATAGTTCCTGTAGAGTCCTGTATAGTTCCTGTAGAGTCCTGTATAGTTCCTGTAGAGTCCCACTATCCTATAGGACATTCTGCAGGAAAATTTTGTTAGCGTGAATTGACAGTTTCACTCTGTTTAACTTTTAGAGCAAATCAACTTTGCTGAAGAGATTGAAAAAGGGGTAAAAAAACAAAAGTAAGTAAAAGAAAATTATGAATATGATGTAATGGCTATGCAGGAGATAGGATAGAGAAAAAAACAGATGGTGAGGGTTTACAGGGAGGTCCAGGAAATTTGGAAAGAGGTCCAGAGGGAGGTGGGGAGGGGGATATTACATTGTTGAACTTATATATTACTTAATTAAGTACTAGAAAGTTGATTGCATTATCTCCTGCAAGGTTGTTTATGATGCTTGTATAATACTACTAGTAGTAGTAAGGTCAGGCCCATAGCCAGCAATTTCAAAAGGGGGGGTTCTTTCTCTGAAAAAGTGGACTTTGTGTACCTGGATAAAATTTTACCCAGAGAGGGGACCTTTCTCCCTGGCTACAGGCCTAAAGGTGTTGTAGTCAATTATTTATTGTAAATATTATTTTATTTATTTATCATATTTTGAATGAACTTGTAGTTTTTGATGGACCATGTCATAAGTATACATAGTTATAAATTCCACCAGTCATATACCACCCATAGATCAAAACTAACCACTTCCCCAGAAAAACCTCGTACCAGTAATTTACAGTAAACCCATTTCACTGGTACATTGGCTACAGCAAGATCATTTTCCTAGTGCAATAATGTGGCTACCCAGGCTGTTGGGAACATTTTTAGGTAGTCCACAGCATCCTCATCATTACTGTATTCCTTGCGATATGTGTATATCATTACTTAAAAGGACAATTTATATGCGCGTGTATACTTGTACAGCAAATCTTTATTTAATGACGAACATCCAAATCTCATTAATGATAAAAAATGATTTCTGAGGTTGAACATCAAAGGTGGATCATGTTACTGGAATGATGTATTGCTCAGTGCCCAGTGGTTGTTAGGAAGTACCCAAGAACAACATACTCCACATCTTCATAGCATTGAGTAGAAGATCAGGGAAAACGACTTCACCATGGAAACAACCAATTAGTGACTTTAAGAGTGGAGTGAGAGGTAGACCATATATCATCTCCACTGGTACTATATACTACCTGTATTCTTGGCTTGGGTCAGACGTAGCGTAGCGTAGATCTAGTAGACTTGCGTTATATACGGTGTTCTAGGATTGAGGGGTTAGAGCTGTGGTGTATTAACTACCAGGTTAGACTGGAGCGTTTTGGTGGATATTTGTGAAGGTTAAAGCCACACGGAATGTTAACATGTACCCTCATATCATGTACTGGTAAGTTAATAGTCGCTATCTTGTATTTTTTTATTGCTGCTTAATTTTATTTATTTTATCTTTTGGATTTAAAGACATTTTTGTTTGTTATTTCCCTTCATATCGGTGAGAAATTGACTGACTATAATGATAGAATTCCTGAAACCCGAGGAAAAAAATCTATACTTTTTGATGAGGTGATTCTGTGCCTGCTTCAGTCCGCCTGTAATTGATATTCAGAGGGCTGCACACTGAATTTCCGTTGTCGTGGATCTTCTTCTTTCCTTTAAAGTCTGTCTGGGTTTCAACTCCCAAGGCAAAGGAGTACTCTTTGGAAAAAGATGCTCATCCTGGGGCTTTAAAAAGTGATCATGAAAGGAATTAACCTATTTTCCTCAAGCGCTGTGTGGAGATAAAAGTCGCCTTTAAAGGTGATTATAGTGGATTATAGAGCTGTGGAGATTGTGAGAATTTTCATGGTGAAATCACTTGAACAGTCTCTTGACATTTTAAAAACTGAAGATGTGCTTGTTTATAATGAAGATAGGGATTCTCTCTCTCTCTCTCTCTCTCTCTCTCTCTCTCTCTCTCTCTCTCTCTCTCTCTCTCTCTCTCTTGGATATTTGGCCTACAGTAGTATAGTTGTCTTAGTATGTGACAGTTAAAAAAAAATCACTACTAACTAACTATAATAACTATCTGTCATTGGTATAATTTCACGAACACAGTTCAGAAACTTACAACAGATGCTATTTTAATAATCAGGTCTCATGTACAAATCATTTTAATGAGTTGTGTGGTGGGGATGTTAATAATAAAGTTGGATGTTGCTGGCAAGTGTAGGAAGAAAAAAAATTAAAGTAATCAATTGTTTTACTCTAACTGCACAAGCCTTATTGTGTTTTGTTCTTGTTCACAAAGTTTTTATCTCTGTTCTGTTTGAAGCTCATCTCTGAAACAGAAAACTTTTGTATCTGTTTAAAAGCAAATTTGTTTGGAACTGTTCTAGTGTGTCAGAAAAAAATCCGCTCTGGGAAAAATTTGATTGAGGGATGCAAAGGCCTCATTTCCACTTTTTCAGAAAAAGCAACCACCCTTTCAAATTGCTGGCTAAAATCCCTGTTATTAAAGCAACAAAATGGCTGCTGTTTTTCCCTCGTCACCCAGGTCTGCAGATTTCCCTTCACCAATTGTGTACGTTCATTTAAAAAATCTCTTTGAGCTTTTCCAGGCAATCCAGCAGCCTCTCAACAGTAGTGATTCCTCTTTGTTATTCTAATTAATACTTAAGTAAGTCTAACACCACATGGGCATTGCAACCGCCCTGCACTTTCCCAACAGGTATTGAATTCACCTTGTTAATGGATTCTACGGAGGATGAGCTCATCAATTATTCAATATAATTCAGTGTAATAAGGTGCATCATATTTATTGATGTAATATTTTTAAAGCCTTTGGGTGTTTTGTTCTTGATTGCGCAGTTGTCGTCTCTGATACATTGAAAGTATTTTCTCCACATTTATAATGTTTGACTCAGGGACTGTTCACATTGAGTTTTATGGATCAGGCTAATGTGCACAAACTCCATGGGGACTCTTTCTGAAAGCAATGAGATTGACAGATGAACATGACACTGAAATCATGACCAAAGTGCAGATCAACACATCGGGATCCCTGTGCTCCAAATCCTGGAAAAACCCCTGAATGAGGTTATGTCCTAATATCATGCAGCTAGCCTGTCTTGGTTAGAGCACTGCCACCTGGTGGTTATTTTTGATCATTGGTCATATATTAGATTTCTAAAAAAAATTCAAGGAAAGTTCTCATATTTCCATCTTTAAAACCATACTTGTAATATGTTAGGTGTTGTTTGATCAAAGTTATATCTGGAAATATATTTATTTTATTCATTGTTTTTAAGGTGTGACCTTTGACCCATACCCCCCACAAGGACGCCAGGTGACGGCCTGCCTCTCGATTGCTGGATGCTTCTGAACAACAACCGATACTACAGCTATCTGCCTGTCAGCGAAATGAGTTCATTAATACAATACAGGTAGGTGACAGTAAAAATGAAAATAAGAAAAAAAAAAACACCCATCCCCAACCCTATAATCAACTATCTGTCATTACCTCTCTCTGCTTTGTGTAGTCCATAGTTTATCTCTTTGTAAATTTTGTATTCCCTTTAATATGTGGTTTCATTTAGTGAAAAAATTCTTGCTTTATACTGAGTGCAAGAAAATTATGTGTGTTAAAAATTTGGAAAAAGGTCTTGAACTACCAAGCTAGTTTTATTGTAGTACTTACTATCTGTACGAGAGCAGAGCTGAGGCCTCCCCTTCAGGTGTGTTTTATTTCCAGTCCTCTATCTACACACATCTACCTGAGCTGATATTGTGCACCTGACATCAAGTACTCATTGAGTAATAAGACCTCAGGTACAGTGTGAAATCTGCACTAGATCCTGTAGTTATAGGATTTGAGGTGCTGAAAGAAATATGTACTGGATCACATCTTTGTACCTGGGCTTCATTTTCACAAAGATTTTGAGCTGTAAAATTGTTCTCAACTTTCAGATAAGCAGATCAGGATTGAGAAGCAGACATGAGCTTTTTCTATGGAAAAGCAGAAATCTGCTTTTTTAAATTCAATTCTGATGGTTCCTGAGATTCGTCAAGGTTAGGTGTTGGGTCCCATGAAAAATGTTCCAAGGTTTTTTTTATAACCTAGGCTCATGTCTGGAGAAGTGATCGAGCCATTTGAACACACGCTAACAAATATTAAGATAGAAGTTCAAAGTTGTCAGAATCAGAGTGAATTATCTGGATGTAGGAGAATTAGAGAGAGAAAAACATTGGGGTCAATGTCAGACACAACCTTGTACAGCAGCTCATAGTTGTTAGGGTCGGTGTTTTATCAGGGTGTAGTGGAAGAAGAAAAACATTGGGGTCGTTGTCAGACATAACCTTGTAGCTCTCCCACCCAGTCCTGCAGCCGTCTCTCTGATCATACGTGTACTAAGCTGGCACATAAAGCTCATTCCTCTGCTCCGTTTCACCTGCGGCTATCACCTGGGTGTTTATACTACAAGAAACAGAGATTGTCTGATATGTTAACTCTCAGCGGGAAGCCAGAACCAACAGCCAAAAAAACTCTTTTTATTTGTACCTGCAGGTGCATGTTTTATAGGTTGGTTTACACTTATTAAATTCTGGTTCAGTTCTGAAGCATGCCTGGTTTGCACTGGTTTTGAGTAACTTTGCATGGTTTTTTATCACTAGTTACTGGGCTTAGGCTTTTGTGTTTAATAATTGGCAAAGGAAAAAAATTCATCAAAGGGCTCAGTACTGTTTATTGGTATTTTGTAATAAAAATTGAACTGGTATGTATGAGAATAAAAGAAAAGAACAATTGTGTTCAGCTTGAAACTGTGAAGGTTAAAAAAAGTTTCAAATGTTGTGATCACTCTTAGGTTGCAGCAGTGGGGCTGTGCTGATTCCCTTAGTGTAAACTGACCTTTTAGAGAACAGAATGTGAGTTCAGGCATGGTGGATGGTGTCTACAGCATGCTCTGGGAATGTTTCCATCATCATGTCTTAGTTGGGAAGACATGCCCGCAGACGACAGTGTGGAGAAATTTTCATTCATACCATGCAGATAGTGAAGTGAATGAATGAGACTGAAATACTGCACAGATGGGCTAGGGGGCTTTTTTTTTTAATCTCATTATTCCATTATGGTTTGCTTTACGTACACAACAATTTTGTAGGATTTTATTTTGTATTTCATCACTGGCTGTGAAAAGCTATATATATTGTATCAGAGGAGACACCTTGGAGAAGTGGTAACATGCGTATTAGTACAGCGTTTTAGAAGGTTTTATATTCAACTATTCTTTCTGTCATCACAGTCAGTGTTTTATGGGCTTTCATATGTGACCAGACAGGTTAGGGAGATACAACAGACAGTAATGGGGAGATGACTGTTTATGTAAAAGGAAGAATGATCTAACTGTCAGCAGTAATTGATCACACGGCAGTGTGCTGGAGACCTCTAGAGACCTGCTGGGGTTCCTGCATGACCAGACAGCTAGTGTGAATAATAAAATATATCATTTTATCGGGAGCTAGGTTGTTCCCAGGGAGCCTTCCTGCCATCATGTAGAAGGCCTCTGGGCTCAAAGGATGGCCTACCTTTTCAAAAACGGCTGGAGGGCTTATGAATTTTTTTTTTGGGAGTGACAGTATTTTTGTAGTTGGACTCCCTGTAAATTGATGACCAAAATTCTTAGGACTCCATGTACTAGTACTCCATATCCTGGGGAAACCCCTGATTGATCCTGGGGAAACCCCTGATTGGGAGTGTTCACAATGTGTAATCTCTCTAACAGGGGACTTACACTGATACAGAGACAATACTCTGGCTAGTGCAAAAGGTGGAAGAGGGGCAATTGTATCAACTATCAAATTATAATATATACGTTTAATACAGCACATAGATAAAGTGTTAGAAGTGACTGGTTTTGTAAATAAAACAGACAAGCGAAAAATATTGAGTTACCTGTCACCAAGATCCATAACGGCAAATGATGGGAGAAGATTTCAATCTGGACTTGCTAGTAGGCACGTATTAACAGCACCACACAGAATTTAATGCATTTTGATTTTTGTAAGGTCGATGTAGATTATCCAAGTTGGATCAGTTGCATTGTAAGTTGCTATCTTCCATTCTGAAACTTACGATTTTTATTTGTGTTGAATTTCCTATTTTGAACTGCAATCTGTCTTAATTGGTGTTTATACTTACAGGCAATTCCAGGCCTGAAGAAAATAACACAAATTTAAAGGGAATTACGATGTATTGACATACTTGTGTGCAACTGGGGTACTATAAGATTATCTAATTGAACCACATTTACTAGTATGGAGTTTTCTCCAAGTCTTCAAATATTTCTTAACTGGTAATATTTGTATGCATATGGTGTCACTTGTGAAGAAAAAACTGTTAATACAGTCTGGGGAAAAAGGCTCTGATGTGTATGTGTGGAAGATTTTATTCTATCAGTAAAATATTACTCAATGTATAGGATTTTAATTGGGCCAATATTATTCAATATATAGGGTATATAATCACATTACGTGGCACGTATTAGAGCTGTAGCCACACTTTCACCACCTGTTCGTAACATTTATTGACTGAGTTCATAACGTAAGTAATAAGACATGTTCACTCTAGGTCTGAGACTGCTTTAGCTCAAAAATCTGTGAAGGAAGCATTTTATTTACCCATATCATAGAGCTACCATTGAATTTGAGATTGATGGGAAGTTCAGAGAAATTTTTAACGGTATTTTATTGTTTTGAGATTGAATTTTAAGTTAATCACCTAAAAAGGACCTGCTAACTTATCAGACCTAGACCTCGCTAGTATTTAATACCATAGTTTTTAAATCGATTGAGGACTTTAAAACAAAACATGAGTTTGGAAAATAAGATTTTTCCCAATGTATTTGATAATTCCCGTTAATCCATGTTGAAAGACACTTGTTGTTAGATGCTATGTTTAAATTTAAGACTCAAGTCAGTCTGCAGTGATCCCGTGTGAATGCGTCTTGTAGACATGAGGAAATCCACCAGGAACCTCAGCTGTGGAAGATACAGCACTGCTACCAACCAATAACAGACCCCGTCTCACTCAGCCTGGTTTGAAACTCACATTACTGGTGGAGCTTTTCACCAAACGCTAAAGAAGCTGGTGGTACTGGGTGAAAGAAGACTTCAGATATCTGATCCTTTTTTTTCCTGTAAATTTGGTAACAAATAAGCTGTTTGCTAGATTTATTGGTTTGTGGACACCACTTATTCACTTTTCTTAGTATGCTGAATATGGACAATGCGCTGTGTTCATAGACATGTAACAATTGGATACTTGTGTCTGAAGACGTATAACAATTGGAATTGCCGTGTTTCAGTATAAATAACAATAGAATTTTCTGTATTTCAAGACATAAAACATAGGATTTGTTGTGTTTGAAGACATATATTACAATTGGAATTTCTGTGTTTGAAGAAAAATAACAATTGGAATTTCTGTGTTCACAGACATATGATAATAGGAGTATCTAGAAAATACTGTGTTGTTTCCTATAAGTAAACAAACCAATCAGGGGTTGAATGTAACGAGAAGGGGACTTGTATGGTGGCTGTTGGATATTCCTAAATGCCTTCTGAGGTTGTCAAAATGAGCCGATTTCTGGAATCTCTCTTTGAATATTCTGCTGCAAAAAAGAAGCAACTATCTTTTTACAGGTGAATGGTTAAGACAGTTGACTTGTTAAAATTTTTCTACATAAGAGATTATATATTTGTGGATCTGCATGCATACCTGCATGTGTGTGCGTGTTTGTGTGTGGGCACGCATGCATGTTTTCTCCTGTACATGAGTATTTTGCTACTACGGCAGTTTGAGAAAGAGATAAAAAACAATATATATATTATATTGCCTTTGAAAAAAAATTATTACTTGATACATCATTAATAGGAATTGATTTTTATAGCAATATTTACTGTTTCACTCTCCATAGGTGTTTCATAGACTGTAGCTGATGTAGTCTTTGTAGTAATAATTAGCTTATAGTGGGATTTTCCTGGAATTTGACCTTCATGAGCTACATTACTTTTTGCACAGAAATATAATTTCACCTTGGAAAACTAATGTTTGCTTAGCAAATTCTGCCTCTGAAATGTGGGAACCTGATCATTTGGTCATTGATCATTTGGAATATGGTAAATGGAATTCCTATTAGATCTTCAAAGAAATATATCTATTATGTTTCACTTTACTACTCAGAAACCTCATTTCAGCGATTGAATCTTTGCAAACTGTACATTTTGCTTTAACTGCTCGGATCACTTGGAATTTTATGTCTTGGTAATTGCAGTTTTGCTTATTTTAACATATAAGAAAGAATTCTAGTATTTTTTAAACATCTGTTAATGTTTAGAAAGGTGAAGTCAATAGCCAGCTATTTCCGGGGCTCATGTATAATGTGGCAATACAGCATGGACCAGCTTGAATCAAAATTCTTGGTAATATCTAATTATCCCACGATAGGATTCCAGGAAGCTTCAGGAGGCCACAAATTATGCTCACTGCAAGAGAAGATAGGGGGAAAAATTGACCAGATTATTTCCAGCACTTGTCTGTGCAGATTGTTAGCATTCCCAATTATCCTGAGGCGTGTGCCAGTTGAGATACGGGAGTTTTCTCATTACGTTGAAGACCAGGTTTCAAATGGTTTCCAGTGACCTTCATCAGGGTTAAGAAAACTTGGCGCTTTCGAACATGATTTTTGTTAAACAGTTAGCGTAAACTGACATTTAAGCCAGCTTGTTTTTCTGTGGATAGGCATGTTTTTTTTCCCTTTTAGTACCATTCTAAATACCTGCAGTGTTCTACTAGTATTGAATCTAAATGATTGGAAATGTTAATATATATTTATATAAGAATTTTTGATTTTATTTAAGTATTTTTGCTATCCTGAAAATTTCAGGAAAATCCATCCGAAACTTTTTGAGGACAAGAAAAAACAGAAAAATGAAAGTGATAACATTGCTTTGGAAAAGATAAAAATATCCATGGATAAAATTTGTCAGCATTTGTTCATTGTTTCACCTCATGCTCGAACTGCTATTATTTTGGGCCCCACTTTCCTCCAAATCCTGCAAACTCTCACTTGATTTTATATATTAAGTTATGAATTTGTACTTTCTCAGAAGATTCACATTTATTGTAAAAAGTTCAAAATACCAAGAATATTATCCTTAATATGTGCCTTGACTTCAGTTGTCCTTTATGTATTTAGATAATTGTTTTCAGAAAACTAGGAAAGTATATGTTATTTTACCAGTCATATGCATGGGATGTTAAATATTGTGCTCCAGTTTTAAAGTATTATATATATATCATCGTTTTCAGAAACCTAGGCAAGTCAGGCCTGAAGGTTTCAAATGTTGGACTAGGTAAGTTAAAAAAAAGTGTGTTTACATTTAAAGAATTCGGTGGTTAACTTAGCCTAAGGACACAAACTGCAGTGAAGGGCCGTGCTAAGTAGGACTGACCCAAGTCTTGTGTAAATCCACCCCATGAAACAATCAATATTTCTATGCTGGGTCCAGACTATACTGTGAAATGCCAGCACTCAGAGTATAGTGGTGGCACATGGTAGTTTTCAGAAGTTGGAAATCTGTTCACAAATTGATTTTATATGTCAAAAAAATCATGGCACATTTGGTCACGTTATGAGATCGTCAGTGGAGAATAAATTCTCAGTGAGATGCTATGTCCATGATGTTACCAGTACAGAGTATCATTTGAGTCACTTAAATCAAAAGTGCATCAACAGTAAATGAAAATAAATGAGAAAAATTAATAATTTGATATTCTAATTAAATTATTTATTTATTTGTTGGTTTTTTTATTTGTTTGTTGGTTTATTTATTTTTTTGCTTGTTTTCAGGAACATGGGTGACATTTGGAGCACAGATCACAGATGAGGTATGTTGTCATAGTAACAGGTGAATTAAGCTATGAACTAACTAGTAAATAGGGAAGTTCGAATTTTTATTTTATTTCTAAACTACTAAAAACTCTTTTAAGTGAAAACAGAATTGATAACAAAGTACTATAAAAAGCATCTTTTACTAAATATAGTTCTTGTTTTTCATGTTCTTGTATCTGAAAGACCAGAAAAGTGTTTCAGATGTGTAAAAAGTATCAGTATATTGAAGGCAAGCACCTGTTACTATATATATTGGCACAATGCCAGACTTAGACCGCATTCAGATTCACACATTGTACTAGCTGGGTCAATCTAACTCTGTCAGGGGGTGGGGGGCTAAAGTGCAATCAGTGGAATGAGCTTAATTGTCTGACATGCCTCCTCAGTCAGCTACGGGGTAATTAACTATCTCGTGTTAATTAAGCTGATTCTACCGATTGCACTTTAGCAAGAATCCCCTGCAGAGTTGGACCGACCCAGCTAGTGCGATGTGTGAATCTGAACACGTCCTAAGAAACCATTTCTGTGTTCAGATCTTGAAAACCCTGGTGCCTGTGATCAATTGATCATTTTCCTCTCATGTGATGTGATGTTCCTGAAATATGTATCACTGTGCAGTAGCTGAAGGCTGTTAGCTTCAGTCATATCTTGTGTCAGATATATATATGTATAACAGCCAATTCAAAAGATTCATATCTGTGCCTGGATGGCTGGCTGATATTTGGTCTTGCAGCTCACCTTGTGAAATGAAAAACAACTTAGAAAAATGTTGTTACAGATAATGATCACAAATTAAAAAATATATATATAATAATGATAAAAACATTGTGGCCCTGCCACATGAAGCCCTGCTCCTTAGCTTGCAATAACAAAATTTTATTTGCGTCCTTCACCCCCCCCACCCCCCCCCCCCCCATACACACACACACCTGATATTATAATATACTGGCTCTTTCAGGCTTTATAGATTACTATGAATTACCAGCTTCCTGGCAGAAACAGATCCAGCCATTCTGGCAGACATTTTTCTTAACCCCACATAAAAATCAAGTTCAAGCCTACACAGTTCCGTAATGTGTCGAGATTAATAAAATGCCCCATGCTTTTGGGTCTTCTCGTTTCCCCTCCTTGTGGTATCTAAGACATGAATCTGTTCTCCAATAGACACGCTGTCAGCTGGTGTGTACTATGTAGGTACGCTTGCTAAGCCCTTTAATCATAGTGTGGATCACCTGAAGGAATTACCTGGAAATTCTGAAAATGTTTCCCAGGATAATGTTCCACCAATACCAGGTCTAGCTTACTCTAGGTTGAAATTTTCGAGGGAGAAAATAGCTGCTATATTTTAGACAAATCTGACATTTTAACTGGTTTGTCAGAGGTGAATTTGATGAAAATTGGTGAATTGATAAAAATTTACCTTTGCCAAATTGGATTTTGTGTGTGTGTGTGTGTGTGTGTGCGCACGCACGCGCGTACATCATGATATTTTTCACCAAGCATTTGGTCACACAAATTTCCAGTCTCTCTTATGAAATACTGAGTTGAACAACATTCTGTTCACTTACAGATGGCGGAGGAAATGGTGACGTTGGCCTATGACAGTGGAATAAATGTTTTCGATACTGCTGAGGTGTATGCCGGTGGAAAGTAGGTCACGATACTGCTGTCATTTAATGAACTTGGCAAAGTGCCAGACAGTAAAGAAGCAGTACCTTTAATTCAGGGAGAGCCAATCATGATCATATTTAAGTTATATATGCACTAAATAATAATGTAAAATACCATAGTGTATAACTGAGAAAGTTTAAAATGAACTGAAACATTTATGTTTAATGTTCAAATAACTTGGAGTGAAATGAAGATATAGTGCAGGTTGCATTATCGGATTCAATGAATTGCTTTATTTTATTTTATGTGTTTATTTATTCATTTTTGAATCCCACAAACATTGACAAATTTTTCAGTGATGACTTCATTGTTTTATTCCAGAGCGGAAATCGTGCTTGGTAAAATATTGAAGAAAAAAGGTTGGAGGTGAGTGTTTTGTAGTCATTTTATCTTCTGAGAGCAAAGCTTTTGTTTTGCTCCTTACACTCTTCATCAACAGGGATGGATTTTTTTCCCTTTCTCCTTAGGAATATTTTTTTTTTAAGTAACTGTGACCAAAAAAAAGCAATATCTATGAAATTCATATTTTCCCCCATTGAAAAGTTCAAATAAATACAGTTAATAATATTATTATTCATTATATTATATAATAATTATTACCTCATCTGACGTTCTAGTTATTTTCACCAACCTGTTTATGTATATATGTACATATATATTTATACCATATGCCTATGTCTTATGTAACATCACTACTGTGCCCCTTGGCTGTGGGGTCTATATTTGNGTGGAGAATAAATTCTCAGTGAGATGCTATGTCCATGATGTTACCAGTACAGAGTATCATTTGAGTCACTTAAATCAAAAGTGCATCAACAGTAAATGAAAATAAATGAGAAAAATTGATAATTTGATATTCTAATTAAATTATTTATTTATTTGTTGGTTTTTTTTATTTGTTTGTTGGTTTATTTATTTTTTTGCTTGTTTTCAGGAACATGGGTGACATTTGGAGCACAGATCACAGATGAGGTATGTTGTCATAGTAACAGGTGAATTAAGCTATGAACTAACTAGTAAATAGGGAAGTTCGAATTTTTATTTTATTTCTAAACTACTAAAAACTCTTTTAAGTGAAAACAGAATTGATAACAAAGTACTATAAAAAGCATCTTTTACTAAATATAGTTCTTGTTTTTCATGTTCTTGTATCTGAAAGACCAGAGAAGTGTTTCAGATGTGTAAAAAGTATCAGTATATTGAAGGCAAGCACCTGTTACTATATATATATTGGCACAATGCCAGACTTAGACCGCATTCAGATTCACACATTGTACTAGCTGGGTCAATCTAACTCTGTCAGGGGGTGGGGGGCTAAAGTGCAATCAGTGGAATGAGCTTAATTGTCTGACATGCCTCCTCAGTCAGCTACGGGGTAATTAACTATCTCGTGTTAATTAAGCTGATTCTACCGATTGCACTTTAGCAAGAATCCCCTGCAGAGTTGGACCGACCCAGCTAGTGCGATGTGTGAATCTGAACACGTCCTAAGAAACCATTTCTGTGTTCAGATCTTGAAAACCCTGGTGCCTGTGATCAATTGATCATTTTCTCTCATGTGATGTGATGTTCCTGAAATATGTATCACTGTGCAGTAGCTAAAGGCTGTTAGCTTCAGTCATATCTTGTGTCAGATATATATATATGTATAACAGCCAATTCAAAAGATTCATATCTGTGCCTGGATGGCTGGCTGATATTTGGTCTTGCAGCTCACCTTGTGAAATGAGAAACAACTTTGAAAAATGTTGTTACAGATAATGATCACAAATTAAAAAAATATAATAATGATAAAAACATTGTGGCTCTGCCACATGAAGCCCTGCTCCTTAGCTTGAAATAAAATTTTACTTGCGCCCTTCACCCCCACCCCCACCGCCCACCCCCCACCCCCCTACACACACACACACCTGATATTATAATATACTGGCTCTTTCAGGCTTTATAGTTTACTATGAATTACCAGCTTCCTGGCAGAAACAGATCCAGCCATTCTGGCAGACATTTTTCTTAACCCCACATAAAAATCAAGTTCAAGCCTACACAGTCCCGTAATGTGTCGAGATTAATAAAATGTCCCATGCTTTTGGGTCTTCTCGTTTCCCCTGTTTGTGCTATCTAAGACATGAATCTGTTCTCCAATAGACATGCTATCAGCTGGTGTGTACTATGTAGGTACGCTTGCTTAGCCCTTTAATCATAGCGTGGATCACCTGAAGGAATTACCTGGAAATTCTGGAAATGTTTCCCAGGATAATGTTCTACCAATACCAGGTCTAGCTTACTCTAGGTTGAAATTTCTGAGGGGGAAAATAGCTGCTATATTTTAGACAAATCTGACATTTTAACTGGTTTGTCAGAGGTGAATTTGATGAAAATTGGTGAATTGATAAAAATTTACCTTTGCCAAATTGGATTTGTGTGTGTGTGTGTGTGTGTGTGAATGTGTGTGTGTGTGTACGCACGCGCGCATCGTGATATTTTTCGCCAAGCACTTGTCACACAAATTTCCAGTCTCTCTTATGAAATACTGAGTTGAACAACATTCTGTTCACTTGCAGATGGCGGAGGAAATGGTGACGTTGGCCTATGACAGTGGAATAAATGTTTTCGATACTGCTGAGGTGTATGCCGGTGGAAAGTAGGTCACGATACTGTCATTTAATGAACTTGGCAAAGTGCCAGACAGTAAAGAAGTAGTATCTTTAACTCAGGGAGAGCCAATTATGATCATGTTCAAGTTATATATGCACTAAAAAATAATGTAAAATACCATAGTGTATAACTGAGAAAGTGTAAAATTGACTGAAACATTTATATTTAATGTTCAAATAACTTGGAGTGAAATGAAGATATAGTGAAGGTTGCATTATCAGATTCAATGAATTACTTAATTTTATTTTATTTTATAATTTTTTTTCATTTTTGAATCCCACAAACATTGAAAAATTTTTCAATGATTACTTCACTGTTTTATTCCAGAGCGGAAATAGTGCTTGGTAAAATATTGAAGAAAAAAAGTTGGAGGTGAGTGTTTTGTCGTCATTTTATCTTCTGAGAGCAAAGCTTTTCTTTTGCTCCGTACACTCTTCATCAACAGGGATGGATTTTTTTCCCTTTCTCCTTAGGAATATTTTTTTTTAAAGTAACTGTGACTAAAAAAAAGCAATATCTATGAAATTCATATTTTCCCCCATTGAAAAGTTCAAATAAATACAGTTAATAATATTATTATTTATTATATTATATAATAATTATTACCTCATCTGACGTTCTAGTTATTTTCATCAACCTGTTTATGTATATATGTACATATATATTTATACCATATGCCTATGTCTTATGTAACATCACTGCTGTGCCCCTTGGCTGTGGGGTCTATTTTTGNCCCTATACTGTGAAACGTCTGAAGATGAACATGCAGTCCTTCTAAGGAAAACTAATTTTCTGGCATAAAAATAGGAAAATTCCTTGTGGGAAAGAATCATTCAGGTATTCACAGCTTTAACTGCAGTTTGTCTTGTAGATGCTGCGCAGTCAAACCAATTGTGTTATTAACATATGCATGTGCATTGCAATGGCAGTAAAGATTCATTTGCAATTCAGAATGTCTCCTTTTGCAAAGGTCTGTTGATCGTGCAGGCATGCGCATGTGTGTTAATCATGTGGTAGCCTTCCTCCGTCTTTGTTAGCCTCCGAAAATTTTTTTTGCACTTGCAGAAGCATATAGATATGCCCAAGGGAGCTCCAATAGTAGCGTCTCTGGGGAGATGACACACCAGGAGCTTCGGTTTCCGCGATACATGGAAGGTACGTCGTGCCCTGCTTGAGAAAAACTGTCATGGCAGACAACGGCAAGCAAGCAGGGTTTTACGGTGACAGGATATAAACTGTTTCTTCTTCTTTTTTTTATTTCTCAGCTACTGCTGTTATTACGAGATTTTGTTGAGTGATTTTTATGATTTGATATTTTATTGTTTATTGATCTTTTTTTTTCTTTCAGTTTCCTCCTGGCATTGATAAGTTCGTGTGTGTCACTGCCGCGTAATAGTCTTAGAGTTAAAGAGACACACCCACAATGAGATGCCATTTATCAGTTATGGAAGGTGTATTTAGACACAAACTTAAACCCAACTAAGTCAAGAGTATATCATATTTCCCAGTTACTTAAAGCAAAATTGAATATTAAAAATCACATTTTGTTTCATACGATGTTTCATTTATAAAATGTGAAAAACATTCGAAACATGGGCTTAGAACTTGGAGTTGGGATTATCATAGAATATATATTTTATAGTAAAACAAACCAGGAAAATTGTCTTAGGGGTAAATGGTTAAATTATCCTGTTTGTATTTGAGTGCACCTTCACACCAATCAAAAAGCTGATGCTATTCAACAATGAAAACTTAAAAGCATTTGTATTCAGGTATAATTATATGAATGTCAGATTAATTTTATTTAATCTTCAGATTGACTGGGAAATATTGTTTCTGGGGACAAGGCCACCTTCACTTAATGATTATTTTATAATAGTAAAAAAAAAAAACGTCAGAAGTTAGTGCTCTTGCTAATTATGAAGTATCATATATGGAATCAAATTATTCATGGGAATAGGCTTTGAGTAAAACTGTGAACAATTCCTCTTTCATCCCAAAATAAAATCTCCCATCAGTGTTCTTGTAAACGTCAGCTTTTTTTCCACTTATTGGGTGTTGTGTCATCTTTAACTTGCCATTCCTGAGTACTGATGGTGCTTGTATTCTCTGTTAAGCAGGGAGTAACCACCACTCAGAACTCTGGAACTAGAAAAACTATAGTAGCTGTGTCCTGTGTGTCCGTCTCTACCACAGCCCTGTAGCTCTTTGGTTGAAACTGATGAAATATTATATATATTTGTGAATTATGTTTGCACTGACTTGTGACTAAGGTTATATTTTGACTTTGATCTTGATCTTGGTCTGTTTCACTATGTATTTTTGTAAGTTACATACCTCCTCTTGGCACTGATATGTATTTACTGATAACACTCTCCTATTTACATTAAAGCACAGTCTAGTCTCAATAAAGGCCTACAGAGTAGCCTCTGTCCACAGGTCCACTGCTGGCCATGGTACTGTATTGGTTTCTACAGATCTGTAGCCAGCAATTTCAATAAGGGGGAGGGGTCATTTTCTTTTAAACATGGACCTTTGTTGATTCCACTTGCATTTGATAAGTGACATGGAACCTAGATTAAATTTTGATTCAGAGCCGACCTTTTCCCCCCACTGAAAGGGGGGTTTTCTAAAATGCTCTTAACATACCCCCCCTTTCTACGAGCCTGCACCATACTAGCACCTTTTAGATTTCAAGTATATGTATGTTTGCTGACCTTTATCTTTTCAACTTTATAGTTATTCCCTAGGATAGTCATTTTTACCAATCATATTTGATTATTTTTTATTCTTTATTACTATTTGCCACTGTATATATAAAGCCTTGGGTTGGTTTTAGCCGAGGATTACAATTATATTTTTGTGATATATTACTGTAATTTGCAAAAAAAAAAAAAAATGGTCTGGAGACTCTCAGAGATCTCATTTCTTGCATGCATAATGATATGTTAATTGATTTTGAAGACATGTTAATGTTAATGATGCATTTTATTGTAAATCTTTTTTATCATTTCCCATAGGGCCCCAGCACAATGCATGACACTTACACTTTAAGTCGTTTTCTTATGGTCATATTTTCTGTGCATGTGATTTTCTCAAATGACTCATCTGGAAATGATGAATGTGAACTTGACCTTGAATAACTTATTTGTTTGTTTTCCTCCACCGAAACCCTACGAATATTTGGCTGTGTCGTTTGTCTTTTCAGTAGGTTTGGAAGTGAATGAGACATAGTTGGTGATAAAAAGTGATTGTTTGATGTCTCATTTTTCCAGAAATTGTGCGTGCTTTCACTCATGTGATCAACCAGGGCTGGGCTATGTACTGGGGAACATCCAGGTGGAATGCCATGGAGATTATGGTAAGTTATTGTGTGATAGCTGTGACTGTGTTAGCTGGTACATTGTGGTAGATGTGACCGTGTTAGCTGTGACAATGTGGTAGGTGTGACAGTGTGTTAGCTGTAATAATGTGGTAGGTGTGACTGTGTTAGGTGTGACAGATTGTTATTTGTGACAGTGTGTTTTGATATTGTGATAAATGGGACGATGTGTTGGGTGTGACAGTGTGTTAGCTGTGGCAGTTTGTTAAGTATGATGTGACAGTGTGGTGGATGTGACAGTGGGGTAGATGTGCCTGCTTTCTTTTACTTATGCCTAATTTGTACACACTTGATTGTTTCAGATAAAAAAATTAATTGTCCTATTTTCTCTTCAGGAAGCCCACTCTGTGGCCCGTCAGTTCAACTTGATTCCACCAATTGCAGAGCAGGCGGAGTATCACCTGTTCCAGCGTGAAAAAGTGGAACTAAGCATGCCAGAGCTGTACAACAAAATAGGTAACAAATGGACATCTAGTGGAGAAAAAAATGCACCAATCCACTGAGTATTTTAAAAATTTTAAATTCACTGCCTACTACCTCATGGCGCCGGAACAATACACAAGGTTTATTGTATCGTCCCTGTTGTGGCCAATTAAAAAATCAAAATTCCAAAGTCAGTCCAAGAAATGCGGTTCCAGTGTTTGATTTGCTACCTTTTAGAAATTCAAAGCAAATTAATGGGTGCATTCATGAATTGTTTTTTATTTATTTATTTACATATTTATTTATTTATTATTATTATTATTATTTTACATCTGAATCAGTTATAAAGTCATTGTGTCTCCAGGTATAGGTACCATGACCTGGTCTCCTCTAGCTTGTGGTATTCTGACTGGGAAATATGATGATGGAGTGCCCATCTACTCCAGAGCAGCCACCAAGGTAAGTGGGGGCACACTGTTACAAGACAGATTGACAATGAGACGTCTGGTTATGAGATATGAGAATTATTGTTTTTTTTTTTTTTTTTTTTTTTTTTTTTTTTTTTTTTTTTTTTTTTTTTTTTTTTTCTTAAAAGGTGCATTAAACAAGCTCACAAGCATGCATGCAATTATACTTGCATGCACACATTCACACACACCTGTGTACAATACAACGTGTCTTGCTCGGCTATGGCTTTTCACACATGCACGCACGCAGGCACGCACACATACACAGTTTTACAATACAATATGTCTTGCAGGGTTATGGCTGGCTGAAAGATAAGATTCTATGTGAGGAGGGGAGAAGACAGCAGTCTAAGCTGAGAGAGGTGGCAGGGATTGCAGACAAACTGGGATGTACACTAGCCCAGCTGTCTATTGGTGAGATGCCTGAATACATATATATTTTAATATTTAAAATTGTAAAAAAAAAAATGAAAAATAAACTTCTTTTCTTTCTTTCTCTTTATTTTGATTTAATTTAATGTGGTCAGATGTGGACCAGAAGTTTAATAGATAGCAATAAAGAGATTTCAAACTTAATCAGTTGCCTATATGCCTAATTTATCTAAGTTCAGATTGAGCTCCCATCCAGTGCTATGTTTATGCAGTATGTGTCACTGTATTTGTAGCTTGGTGTTTGAAGAATGAGAATGTTCAGTGTGTGCTGCTGGGAGCAGCTTCTGTGGATCAATTGTACGAAGATATCCAGGCATTGCAGGTAACATCTCACCTAACACATCCAGTACAGTCACATCTAACACACTGTGATAGATATTTATAAAGAGAGTTTCTCCTTCATTATTGGTAGTAAGGTAGATGATAAAGTTCAATAATGTCACGTGATAGAAGTATTATAGTGTTTTTTTTTTGTCACTTTCTATGTCATCCCAAAACTATTTTGATATCTTTTATTTTGTGTGTGTCACTCGCTAGGTCATCCCAAAACTGACGCCTCCCATCTTGGCTGACCTAGATAAGGTCCTCGGCAACCGCCCCACGTATAAGAAAGAGCCTCGGGACAGGTGACTAGAGCCGGAAGCGCAGCCTCGACCAGAACCACAGCGCAAGAGCGCACGTGCAGCCATGTTGGCAGCCAAAAAAGACGGACAAAATCAAGTGTGTGTTTTATCTTGACATAGAGCACCATGCCTGGTTGTCTTGGACTTTGTTGTAAATACACTGCCATTGTTCACTGTGTGAAGTGACAATCACCAGGGAGAAATCTCTCAAACTGGCTGATCTGCGGGTTCGTCTGTGTATTTGAACTGACACTGAGGACTTACAGACTGTACAGATTGATCAGCAAGTTTCCCAGTGTGTGTGTGAGTGAGTGAACTCTCTCTCAGTGCCATGGCACGTTTAGTTGGTCATCTACTTGTACCTTTGAACAAAATGACTTTTTAATGATGTCGTAAGTGACAGCATATCCAAAACCTTTAGTCCAGGCCTTCAGCAGTGCAGTTCCTTACTAGGACCTTGGTTGTTATTTGTTTTGTGCTGGATATCTCAAAGCACATGTTTACTTTCCTGGGATAATTAACATTATTTATTTGTTGTGCCACAGTTTGTTTACACATTCATAACTGTCAGTATGATGCGCCTCGGGCCAGAGAAGAAAAGGATATTTTCCCAGAGTCACATTGAATTTTCTTTTCCATTTCTACACTTGACACCTACTGAAGAAGTACCTGGATGTTTTCCTTGTCACATTGTCACCATATGACGTGTGTCACACTATCCTCACATTTTTGAAGACAGGTTTTCAGTTTGTGAATTCTCTAGGTATGGTGTGAGCTAGATGTAGGTGATGGACCGAGGTTGTTAATATGCAACTCAGGAGCCATACTCAGTTCTCCATCACAGCATTGTAGCACAAACCAGACTTGATGTTTATATGTGTGATTATTTAGACACAGATTGGAAGTCAATGCACACAAGTTCACCAGGTTTACTCCTTTGTTCAGGGATGAGATTTTTTCTAACTGTCGGCAGATTTCTGACTTTATGGGAGTCAAAAATATTATTGGCCTAGGCAGCCATATGACTTTTTAACTCAATGGCAGTCTCATCCCTGATATTCAGAGGTGTGGAAAACTCATTTTGTTGACTGAAGAACAGAAAGAGATTAGTAACAACACTGCCAGGATTGGAGTGCCACCTATGGTTGAGATGACATACTACAGGCACAGTGCTGCCATCTTCAGTCAAACTCATTGTGCTGGCATTTTTTATTGATCTAGATTTAGGCACAGTGTGGATTTTGTGGATTTATACTTGTGTGTGTGCTCCTACGTTAAACATATGTGTACACAGATAATGTGTGACCAAAGAACTTGGTTTAGAAATTTTAAATGGTATGATTAAAGAAAAAAGAACATATTTATCTGAAGAAAGACTCAAATATAGAAAAGCACTCAGATGGTACATAGTTTGTAGATATGTCCAGCTGTGTATGGACTACAGTAGGAAAAAAAACCCTGAGATATATCAAATATTTTGACTTTGATGATTTAATGTCAGATTTCATTGTTGTTCTGTTGACTTAAAGCTGCTGGTTTTCATGCCATTGGAGATGTCCCCTGCTCGCAAGGCTTCTCTTCAAAAAGGAGGTAGGAAAAACATGGACTAATACCAGCTTCCTGGCTTGACTGACGATCTATTGGACTGATGATAAAATGCAGGAGAAATGTAAAAAAAAAAAGAAAAAAAACACCATAGTTTAATGCATTTGCAATCTCCAAGTTATGAGCAGTTTTTCTCAATAATTCGTTTTCAGTGGCTGACTATTTAAGTGTTGTGGAAGATGAACATTTGTCTCGGTCAAACACTGGTGGGAGACCAGACACTGATGCCAGACTTACGTGACATCTTGAACACTGCAACAGTGTGTGACATCATTGTGTGACATCATGTCGCTGGGAATATATGAAGTCGCCAATAGAAATGTCATGAGAACTGAAAATATGTCACACTTTGATCATGACATTATGACATCAGATATGATGTCACACCTTCAAAGGAAGTCACTTTTTTGCAGTACTGTATTTTGTCACACTGTTGTGATGATGTCACAAGTAACTTAAAAACACTGATTGTGATGTCATACTGCTGAAATGATATCACAATAACTTACAGCATTGGTTGTGATGTCACACTGCTATTATGATGTCACACTGCTGATATAAATATACAGCACACTGTGCAACTGAGAGTGCAATGCATTGGGTGATACATTATTGTTTAGAAATGTGCAATAGTTTTGTTGTAGTTTAAGATATATATATATAGATGTTATGCTTGACTGTCATATTTCAACTGCTTGTATTTCATAATATTTAATTTTATAGAGATAGATTTCTTTGCCATATTGCTTTATCATTGAACAGTAAATTTTGCCATTGTTTTGGTATTTTACATATGATATTTGTTGTGATTACCATTTGGAAATTTTTGTTCTCCTGATTGTTGAGTATAATAGAAGATCAGTTATGTTTGTTTCCTCTGTTAAGAAATTGCGCACATATCAATCTTGCATGTGAAATTTATTGTCACCAGTGTTAAACAAAATATTTTTATTTCTCATTGCCCAGAATTTGTCATCTTGTAACTGCTGTTTTTGTGGTCCCTGATTAAATTGGTCATGTTTTCTGTACTTCAGTGTCACCCTTAATGTGTATAAAAGGTTGCAATTGTGCGTATTTATTTATCTGTTTGGGAATTGGCTTCCTATTTCTTTCTAGAATTTTCTAGAATCTTTAAATGTTTGACTTACAGTTTTATGTGAATTGCTGGAGATTTTAATGGTTCTTTAATTCAGATTAAGTGGGTATTACGTTGAATGTATGCTTTTTCCACCCGCATGCTACATACTGAGAATATTTGGAATGTTTATCGATTGTGAATACAACAATGCTCGCAGACGAACAGCGTAGATCTCTCTTAGGAGACGATGCCCTGTTTAACGTCACTTGAAAATGTTGTAAGAGTGTTTTTATTTAAAATGTTTTGTTTATAAACAAGACAGAAATTTGAATGTGTTGGGTATAAGTGAACAATGTCGGACATATTGGGATAATATACGGTTGGTCGAGATCGACCATGTTGTTTTGGAACAGGTCTAGTTTTAAAGGTGATATACTGTTAGGTTAGGACACACTGTGTGATAAATTGATGCCGTTGATGCAGGTTTTGGCAAGATTTCCTGTAGTAAACTGTTTTTACAAATATATCCATATTGCAGTTAATGTTATGGTGGACGGTGTGTATGCCGGCTATACACGTTGGTTTACACGTATCTCTCTCTTTTATGTATATATATATGTATATGTATAGCGAGTGCCAAGGTTTTCTCACTCCTAGCGCCTGTGATAGACATCACTTTAGGTATGCATTTTTATAGATGTTTGATTTTTTTGACTGTAGAATAAACTATGCAACCACAAGTCTTTTTCGTTTATGTGTAATTTTTGATATGGAAAGTTAATCACACAAGATCATTGATGTTACGTTGCCAAGCGTGTAGTTATGATATAAAACTCGTGGTAAAGGCCTAAATGAAGAAAAACAATTTATTTAATCCCTGGTGCAAAGAATTAAGTAAAATTGAGTTTTTGAAAAACTGTAGTTTGTTAGGAAAGATATACAAACTTCAAGTAAATGCGTTGCATCCTGGTCTATATTCAAGCTCCTATTTCTTTTCCATGTCTTCAGCGCGACAAATAGAAGAACACTGCGCAAAGATCGAATCGCCTGTTTGGTATCCATGGCAGCTTCCTACGACGTCAAATTATTTCCTACGTCACGCGCACGTGGCGTCAAAGCGACACTTATTACGTCATATTGGATGACGCCTGAAGCGGTGGTAACGGACGAATTCAACATGGCCGCTTGGCAGAATGTTTCCTTTTCTAATATTCAACGCTGCTAAATTTTGCCGAAGAACTAGGATTACAGGGTTGCTCATTCGTCTGTTTATCATCCAATGGATGATGTATGAACACTTTTTGTTACTGGCGTCCATCGAAAATGGTCCTAAATCCGACATAGAGGAATCGTGTCTCTGTAAAGATTTAACTACTGTAGAATTCAAGTAAAAAAACGGTCATGAAACGGATATCTGTCTCATTGGTCATCCTGATTTTTTCCATTTCATCATCAAGTAAGTATTGGACTATCATGGAGTAACAAAAAACGCGGTTCATCCACATTAGTTTCAAATATGACTTTGCAAATGCAAATGTTAGGTGATACAGCGGCGTTTTTACATGGGTAAAACTGAATTTGTAGGAATTGCTTATGAAGAATTGCAAAATGATTCTAACAATTTTTACCTCATGTACTTAAGAATAAAAGTCGCATTGTGATATAATATATGTTAAATGAATATAACAATTCAATTGCAAAGAAGTTAATTTAGCTGGTAGAATTATTCGATGAAAAAGATTCATTTGAGCCTAGGTTGATCCAAATATTTTTTATGGCTTATACTGTTTTTCCTATTTCTTGAACTCTTTTTACCCCATTGATTATTGATCATTGTGATGACGCCAAGACACGAAATGAGGTGTTTCTTACACAAAGCAATACAAAGACATTAAGGACCTGAAATGCACGAATTTCTAAACCAAATCAAATAAGTTAATTAAAATTAGACGCCCTGATGATAGAATACATAAAAAAAAAAAAAAAAAAAAAAACATTTCTGATCTCTGAGCCACCTCTGCTGAGAAGGATGCGACTAGTTATCATTTACTTACAGTCATAGCTATACCAGGAATATAAAAATTGTTTATACATCTTTAATCTGTATATGACATGTAAGGAGTTGTCCCACTTATATTTCAGTGGCTGCCTCGAGTCATCGGTCAAATGGCTGCACTGTGTGGTCAACATGCTCGGCCACCTGCGGACAGGCGGTCAGGGCAAGTACGTGAGATTTCCTATCCCAATACACATCCTTATGCTAACCGCCTGTATAAATATTACACCATAAATAACCCATTTTTTGAAAACATTTTACTCTTTCTTCGTCAATATTACAATATTGTAACAAATGTGAGTAGTTTTGATTGGATAATAATAATATGCACATGCTTTGACTGAAATATGGTATGCCTATCCTTTAATTTTCAGCAATTCAGTAAAAAAGACTTGAATTGTATACAGATTGCACAAAACATTTACAAATTCCGTAATAAGATTTATTTTCTTCTTCTCTCCTTTATGCTTTCTATGCTGTGGAGAAGTTAATTTGCTTAAATATTTTTAAAAACTTTTTATATTGCAATATATATACAAAAAAGGGAAAAAACGAAAACTAAATGGAACTTGGATAAAGTGCGGCGTACAAGTGCATCAATGAAAGCGAGCACGTGCCCACCATGAGCATATTTTAAAATAAAAACTTTTTTTGAAGTAGAATGGAGTATCTGCTATTTCACAAGCCAACGTATTCTAAAAAATATCACTGGCTATTTTTCAGGAATCTGTAACGGTATAACACATACTCAGAAATGCAACGTTACCGCTCAGTGTCCAAAACACTCTGCGGCCACTGGTGGTCACGTGGGACGTGATTCTCACTGGTCCTCGTGGTCCCATTGGTCAAGCTGGTCCTCGTGCTCGGTCACGTGCGGGCGTGGATGGAGAGAACGTTCGCGCACGTGCAAGCACGCGACCACAGCACGAATGTATCCGGTTTGTGAAGGTAAGATATTGAAAGACCAGATTTAACTGTTGAAAAATAATAATAAAATGCACATGCTTTGACTGAAATATGGTATGCCTATCCTTTTCTTTTTTTTTTCATTGATATTACAAATTTTATTCAAGAGAGCTTAACATTATATTCTATGTAATTTTACAAGATATCGCTATTTATTGGAAACCAAATTCTAACGGTGATGTCAATATCCTTTATAAAGGACCGGCAGAATAGTGTAAGGTAAAGTTAAAACGCCATTCATACCAACGATTTTTCACTTGTAATCGGTCAGGTCCCAGATCAGAAAAACAGCGGTGTGCCGACAATCCATGCATCATAGCATTAACGACCATCAGAAGACCACCCAGGCCTACTTCACATTCTATAACCAAAATGACTACAACAACAACAACAGTAAGGCCAACCACCACAAGAGTGAGAACTTCAACAACTCCGCCAACTACAACAGTTACGTCGACAAATCTAAGGCCCATTGTCTTCTCAAGTCGGCCACCTGTCCCCGAACCGAAACCAACATCTAGATCTGGCATCCATGTGCATTTTCAGATAAATATAACAGAGTCATCGGGGCGCGTTATTAAGTCAACGCCACGTAAAGAAAAAGGCACAAATTTTGCCGTAAAGAGGGAACCAAAGGCGTCTCGAAAGGGCTCTAAATCAATGCGCGGTCGTGGACGCACAACAAAGCCTAGAGGTAACAAACGTATTCGTCAAAATAAAAGCTTCAGAAAAGGCAAGAACAGTGGAAATAGACGACCTTGGAGGATGAAGTCCAAAACAAAATCTGGGTTCGGCAGAAGCCGTAGGCCTCCAGGGGCAAGGAGGAAGAAGCCTCGCAACCGTGCAAAATTTCCCCAAAAGACACTAAAGCCCTCGAAGAAAAAAGTGCAAAATCGCAGGCCTAGCAACTACTGGAAAAAGTGGGGTAAATGGAATGCTTATAGGGCACGCATGGCAGCAAGACGGCGAAATTTCAATAAACATCACCGTTCCCGACAGCGTTACCGACAGCGTTACCGACAGCGTAACCGTTATCGACATCGTCGTCCCTTCAGAAAGTGGTCACGGCATAGGTTACCAGTGACAACAACACCTTCAACTACGACAGTGGCGCCCACAACCGCGACTACGTCTCAAACAACTGTTACGACAACAACGGTGCCGACTACATCTACGTCACAAACAACTGTCACGTCAACAACGCCACCGACTTCATCTACGTCACAAACAACTGTCACGTCAACGACGGTGCCGACTTCTTCTGCCTCTCATTCAGCATCAGTTGTGTGTACCACATGTGCGTTATTGTTTCCTAGCACAAAAAGCACGGTAAAGCAGCCTCTGAGACCTAATGGTAAAAATATACATGAAGGATTTCCCACCAAACAGAAGTCAGGGCCTTCTGCGTCTACTGAACGGACAACAGCGACTATGTCACAAACAACCGTTACGTCAACATCTGTGCCGACGTCATTTTCGTCACATTCAGCATCGGTTGGGTCAACCACACCTTCGGT